ATATTTTGTTATTGATAAAACTGGATTGCTTTCCTCATACTTTTTCTTCACAACACATATTCAATAGGTATTTACTCTCATTTTATTTTGGTTTTGGATGAAACCATATGAATGTATTTACAATATACAAAATGAGTATCTGGAAAACAAATGAGAAAGGGCCTCCCAATCAGCGTCAACATAAAAATCCTAGAATTCATAACAAAAACAAAACTTTGGATCTGGGAGTAAAAGTGTCAAATTTAGAATCCTCATGTACAAGTGTAGGGGTTTGAGTGATTTTGAGATGATCAAGGAAAAAGATAAGACCACAAGAGGCAGTACCACACAGTAAGCTCTATTGGAAGACATATGGATAGGCCTGCAGAAGATAGGAAGTCCCACAGAGCAGGAGTTTGTCCAGAGGCTACAGCACAGGGTCCCTACTCAGAGGGGAGGAGGGCAAGAGGACTTCCCCGGGGAGAGAAATAGCACAGAGGGGTTTACGTGTCCAGGTGATGTCACCCTGCAACATGGTAGTGAGTCTTTGGGTCAGAGAACTCCAAAGGAAAAATAAACTTGGTTGGACTATTTAAAATAATTGGATGGATAAAAATTTGAGTTTGGCACTGGCTGGCATTTGAGGTAATGGATCTCAATCTACAATGAAGAAATAAACAACATAGTGTCCAATACACAGAGGACATCTTTGGCTCACTTATTGGAGAGAACAAAACTTGAGAGAAACATAACAGTTGCTCTACTAAGGCATTTCAATGTGCCTGATATGTACTGGATTCTTTCGGGTAAAATGGACTGCGATCACTTTAAAATGTTTCTTTCTTGCATCAAACTCATAATCATTTTGTACTAAAATACACACATTCGGTCTTTTATGAAATCAAGAAAGGGAAATCATCATGTAACTAAGACAGAGGACTCAATGTAATGAATGGAAACTGAAGATAAAAAGCACACGGGGAGCTAGGAACACAGAGAGTAGGCCTTTGGGCCTGATGTCCTAAAACACATGTGGTCAGGGTGTTAAGTCAAGAACCACACATGTGTAGGTTGAGGATGCAGGTGGGCTCCCATCTTGGAGTAGAGAAGCAAGACTACACTGAATGGGGCCCCAAGTAACTCTTTCCACTGCCTGAATAGATATCAGAAATGAACTACTCAGTTACTATGAGACCACTAACTGCGTCTAAACATAATCGTACCATCAGATGCAAGAATGAACTCTGAGCCAACTCAGTGATACAGATTCCACCTTCTTTTAGGGCCCTGATAAGGGAAATTGTTCTCTTAATGTGCTTCCTGTGGTGTGTGTACAAAAATACCATTTCTTCATCTTTTCTTTATTAATTTGTAAACATTCTTTAGTAGGAAATATATGAAGCCTATATTGTATATATTGCCTGCCATGAAGTTTATATCTTTTTCTTTTATCCCGTTTTGCATTTCACTGCTTCAGGAGGAAGCTGCCTACTCTGCATATACCACCCTTCTCAATGTAGCCTCCTAGGCTTTAGTCTTCTTAGAACAGTAAGTGATTTATAAAATTCCTTCTGTCTTCTTTTCTCATGCAATTAGTACAGATTCTCATCACTTAAAGATAACATTGCCACACCCATCACTACAAGCTTTGCGTTTCAGGACACGGACTTATTTCTTGTACCAATCAGCTCAGATGCCCTTAAATTCTATATTCTAGAAAACGAAAGGGCTTCAAGTAAAATATTCTTTACATTTCTAAGATCTTATCTATAGTTCTTAAATGTCCAAAATTGTGGAATTATCTTTGGGGTACAGGGTCCCCCATTATTTATCTCCAAAGAGACCACATTCTTTACTTAGAAGGTGAGTAGCAAGCTGTCCATATGTTATTTACTAAAATTTTCATATTAGATATAGCACACATAGATTTGGAGTGGGATATTTCCCTAGCTCTCAATAGTAATGCATCTCCCTTTATTTTGATATCTGCATGTTCATTTCCATCATGATTACTTAAAATGAGATGGAAGGAGAGTTGGAAAGAATGCAACACCTACTATAATTATTCAATATTTTTATCTTGAATACTTTATATTCCATAAAACTATATTTGATTAACTTACTAATTATAGAATTAATCAGAACATATAAACAATTACGTAGAAGAATCAACACTAACCACCTGAAAAAAAGAATATTAAAAAAATCTTGTCCTATTATACTAGTAAAAACAATGAAGTTAATACTACTTTCTATAAGTTCTTGTTTGAATAGTGAATATTCACCGAGGATAATTTTGGAGACAGTCCTAACTATTTGAACATTTGAAAACATTTTTTTGATAACACATTGAAAAGTACCTTTATAATGGATGATATTATTTGCTGCCCTTCCTATGGGAGGATTACACATCACTGTCCTATTGATGTTGAGCTTGACCACGTGACCTGCCATGTTCCATGTGGCTGTTCAGAAAAGTTTATGAAGTCATTCTGATTGTTTCCTACTGACACTTTTAAGATGTGAACTGGCTTTCTTCTGTGAAAAACAAAAACTTGTCATTTTCATTTTTATCTTCTTAATTATTTTCTTTAATAAGAACAGAAGCACTAATTTTTAACTCAAAGCAAATAATAATAATAAAACAAATTATGCTGATTAATGTAAATAGAATAATATAAATAGAATGCATAACAAACAGCATAATATAAAGTATATATAATTTAATATATATTTATATTTTATATAAATATATAAAATGTTTGTTATTATAATGACAACTTTCCAATATGGTAATAACTTCTAATTCTGTCCCAAAGAGATATTAAAAAAATTTGGGGGGCTAATGCAGTTAAAGGTATTGTTTTTCTTCTTATCCTTTATTTACTTTTATGTGTCTTGATTTTGCATTGTATACTGACATCCTTTTGTGTAACACGGTGGTTATTTTTGTTCACTCCCCTTCTCTGTATCAAACAGCCTCTTCTTTTATGAAGGTTGATCTATTAAGGTGGATTAGTCTCACAATTAGTAGCAACCATTGTCCAAATGTCAGGTTTTAGTTAGGCACAGAACATGTAGTGCCTTTCTATAACTTGAGCTACTATTGTACCCAACATGGTGCCATTAAATCCCTTCATTACTGAAACCTAAAAATATTCATGCCTCTGCGTTATATGTTTCATTTGCCTCATACAGCTGCTGGAGGGATGTACCCTGCCCTGTGGTAGGGTTGTTGGTGGGGTTATATCAACTGCCCTGGAATTTCTGAACTATAATATCAACTATCAGGTATATATAACCTAAAAAAAATTCTCTCCTTTATAGAAGTTATTACCCCAGAGTTAATTCCAGCTAAGATAAACCTTATAGACCTCTCTTCTTATGCATCTCTGTTTTGCTCTTTATCTGTGTATTATCCTCATAGCTCTTTTTCTATTTCACAGATTGCCATGTCTAAACTATTTAAATCTGTCTCTGACCCGAATTTTTAATTTCAAGAACCATAAAGCATTCAAATCTAGGTATTTTTTGCACATCTGCCTGTGCATTTCCCAATACCAATTCCTTTTTAATCCATTGAAATTTTGAAATATGTAGTTTATAGTCTCAGATTTTCTTTTAACTTAGTTTTTCTAGAGACAGTAATCCTTTTATTTGTGGGCCTGGAAAATTAGGATGGATTATTTCCCTTTAAGGTGTGCTCCTCACGGAGAAATCACTATTTAAAAAAGTTTTACATTTTTCTTTCTGTTGTGTTCTGTTCGGCTTGCAATGATGCAGAATGAATTGTTTTTATGCTAATTTTTAGCTTTCAAATTCCTGAACCATATAGTTAACCTAAATATGATCATTACACTTATTCTTAGGTGCAGGAAGTAATAACAAAACCTCCAAACCTGCTTCTGAATACAAGTTCCTGGCAGATGTTTATTTGGCTCAGGTGTTAGAAATTTGTCAATTGAGTGGATGCCATTTGATCAGCAATAACTTTAGGGATATTAAATTCAAAAGTCAAATTAAAAAAAAGTATTTGATAAACCATTTGAATCTTACCCCCGGAGTATCGATTTATATTAAAATAATCACTACATGCACATAAAAATTTGCATAAAAATATGATCAAAATGACAGATCTTTGAGCAAATGTGCAGCTTCCAGCAGAAATAAACCATGTTCAGGAAATAGAATACATCATGATTTCCCTGTTGAATTTAAAAATGCAGTCTTAGCAATGATTGAAAGTCAGGACATTTTAGGGCTATAAAGGACGTTAAGGATAGTTCTATGTAACCCTTATTTTAAAAATGAAGAAATTGAGGCCTTGAAATATAAATTTCTCATTCAAAGGCCATGCAAATGCATAGCAACTCCAGTAATAGGCTCTGAATTCTGAAACTGAACCCAGTTATCTTTCCTTCTTTCCATATTTTCCCAGCTTCAATTTGTAAATAGTTAAGTAAATAAGGGCTCAAGCCAAAGGCCAGGTTGCCATTTTAGCTGGATTAGTTTAGATACAACCTATTTTATGTATTTATTTAATTTTATGTTATTGTTGAGAGTATTACTGGTATCCCCATTTTTCTCCCTATGCCCCCCTCTGCCCAGCTCCTGCCCCACCCCAGGCCTTTACCACACTATTGCATATGCATATAGGTCCTTTGGTTAATCTTTTGCTGTGCCCCCCACTCCCTCTCCATCCCTCTTCCCTCTGAGATCTGTCAATCTGCTTCATGCATCCCCATCTTTGGACCTATTTTGTTCGTCAGTTTATTTTGTTCATTAGATTCCACATACAAATGAGATGATGTGATATTTGTCTTTCTTTGACTGGCTTATTTCACTTAGCATAATAATTTCCAGGTCCATTCAAATGGTAAGAGATCTTTGTTTTTTTTATAGCTGCATAGTATTCCATTGAGCTACAACCTCACAGTTTTTTATTTTTTTAGTATATTTTTATTGATTTCAGAGAGGAAAGGAGAGGGAGATAGAAACATCAGTGATGAGGGGGAATCATTGATCGGCTGCCTCCTGCATGCCCCACACTGGGGATCTAGCCTGCAACCCAAGCATGTGCCCTGACTAGGAATGAAGCGTGACCTCCTCATTCAGAGGTCAACTCTCAACTATTAAGCCAGTTTGGCCAGGCAATCAACTCCACTTTTAAAGTTTCCTGAGACTTGAAAGGTGTAAATTGTGTTGGTTTTAAGTTGCCTCACTACTGACTTAGGATTCAGCTTTCTTCAGGCTCCTAAATAAGTTAAAACTTATCTAAACGGTGTCCGTTTCTCAAAACTGTGTGGTTGTTTTGTCCCGACCCTCCACCCCATTTCACCCTCCTCGTGGATTTATGCTCAAGACGATCACTTTATTAAGTTGTTATTGTGGGGTTTCAAGAACGGGTAAAATTAGAATCACAGGCTCGCTCCCTCAGTCAATGAAATGAGTAGAGACATCTGAAAGTGAGTGAGCAAGATATAAATATGTGAGTGTAACATCTGAATGAGCGTAGCAGCAGGCTGACTCACTGAAAGTCTAGGTGAATGCGTGATCTGTCAGAGTCAGCATTCATTAGGTGGTGTCAGGGATAATTTGTGTAAACTCTCTAATGGTGAGCAGCTACCTAATTCCTCATCTATCCAAGATTCTTGATGAAATAAACTGTATTGGGCCGAAACCGGTTTGGCTCAGTGGATAGAGCGTCGGCCTGCGGACTGAAGGGTCCCAGGTTCGATTCCGGTCAAGGGCATGTACCTGGGTTGCGGGCACATCCCCAGTGGGGGATGTGCAGGAGGCAGCCGATCGATGTCTCTCTCTCATCGATGTTTCTGACTCTCTCTCTCTCTCTCTCTCTCTCTCTCTCTCTCTCTCTCTCTCTCTCTCTCTCTCTCTCTCTCTCTCTCTCTCTCTCTCTCTCTCTCTCTCTCTCTCTCTCTCTCTCTCTCTCTCTCTCTCTCTCTCTCTCTCTCTCTCTCTCTCTCCCTTCCTCTCTGTAAAAAATCAATAAAATATCTTTAAAAAAAATAAACTGTATTGGTATCTTCTATGTCAAAACTTCACTGATGAGGACTTGACGACACCAATGACAAATTATCAGAGTAGGAACCATGGTGAAAGTAGTTGTGTTTTTGATATAGGATAAAAGTGTGTACTATTTTAATCTTTAATGGATTTTGACTTTTGAGTGACTGCTTTTATTGTCTTGGAAACAGCTTGCGATAATATTTAGTTTGTTAAACAAACAAACAAACAAACAAAAACCAACACAGACACAAAAATAGCAAAGAGCAAGGTTAACCTTTAAATGAGATTTTTTGAGGACTTTTATAGTGTTTGTTCCTATTCACATTGTTACTTCAGCCTACTTGTTCTTAGGTCTTGCATTTAATATTTAGAATATCTTATAATAATTGCAGTAGTGCTTGACGAGTCTTTAGACTTATGCAGCAAACAAATGCAATTCAACCATTTGTTGCAATTTAAAGTCTTCCGCCTGTGTGTGTGTGTGTGTGTGTGTGTGTGTGTGTGTGTGTTTTAAATATCTTCTAGGTTCTCTGCCCCTTAAGATCATAATATTCTGAAATTTCATCACATTCTTGGGATTGATACTTGCTTTGATTGATGCTAAGCAGAACACAGCAGGATACCTTAAGGACTTTTCTGTGCCCCCACTCATTTGCTCATTTAATTAAAAATATTTATTGAGTGTTACTATGTGTCAATTACTGATTTAGGTGATAATTCTCTAGTGAATAAGACAGATCCCGCCTCTGGCCTTTTGGAATTAAGAGACTAGTGGAGATACAGGGAAGCCATTGCAAAAAAGGGTGACCAGTTCTATAATGTGGAGAGCACAGGAAGTGGTGTATGAGTCCTAGGGAATAGGATAGAGTTTGGCAGAACAGCAAGGACTGAAGGGTTCCAAATTATGAAGGGTCTCACATCCTGAGAGAGCATGGCCTGCCCCTGTAACTAAGAAATGACAACTGTGGCTAGAAGGTGGAGTGTAAAAGGGCAGTGGTGAGAGATAGGACCTGCTGTATAAAAGAAATTTAAACAATTACAAAGTTTTAAATAGGTGAAGACATAATCAGAGTTAAATTTTAGGAAAAAATAATTGTTCTTCCTGCAGTTTAAATACTGGACTAGAGGGAAACAAGTGTGTATAGGTGGAACCAGTTAGAAAACTATTGAGATAAAAGAAACTTAAGATTTCTACTCAGATTGCTGTTCCCAGGCTCAAATTGACTAGATAGATTGGGCTTAGCATCAGTGATTGAATTGCATTAAATTTTGACGAAGTCAATACAAACCAACACTTGTATTTTGAAATCTAATTATTCTAATTCTATAGTTATTATTTTATTATACTCCTCATTGCATCATAGTAACTCTAATTCTAAAGAGTTCATGGATCTGAAGACAATTGAACAAGAGTCACTAAAGTTCATACTAATAGAGAAAAGCATGGTTATTTCAAAGAATCTTATCAAGATTCTTATCCCTTATCAGAACCATATTAAAAGGTGCACGATGAGACCAAAGAGAGGTGGACCCATGGTTTAAATTGACCTTTTCTTAACCTTTCCTTGACCTTTTCTTAAATTAATTTCTCAAGGAACTTCTCTCAGTTCCTACTTCCAATATGTACCATATCACTTTGCATCCTGATGCTATATTTTCCTGCTGTACCTGGGCTAAAATGGCTCCATCTACTTGCCAGTTCAGCTCCTACTCTGCTTTCCTTACAGCATTTTTCTGTTTTAATCCATTCAGCTGACCAAACAGGTAGGTTTTTCTGGCATACAGTGCTTGGCTGGCTACCTTTAAATAGGCAAGGGCAGCCAGTCTGCGAAGGTCACTTGCATGCCTCCAGTGGCCCCAACATTTGGTTATTTTGCCTCAATGAATTGTTACATTGCAGAAGAGCCTTAATATCTTTAATCTTACCTCACAACAAAAATGTTGTTCCTATTTTCTGAAATTTGTCCACTCTACACATTAAAAATATTACTTATTTTTTCAAGAGTAATTTCAATTGTACCTCTTCCAGGAAAGTTTTCTTTACCTCCTCAATTTGGGAAATTAACTTTTAAGCAAATATTTATCATGTGAACATGTATCTTTTGTTGTTGCTAATCCTTATCGAGGATATTTTTCCATTGATTTTTAGAGAGAGTTGAAGGGAGAGGGAAAAACAGAGAGAAACATTGATGTGAGAGAGACACATTGAATGGTTGCCTCCTGAATGCCCCCAGACCAGGACCAGGGAACCTGCAACCAAGGTACCTTTGACCTGAATGGAACCTGGGACCCTTCAGTACCCTGACCAGGACCAGGGAACCTGCAAACAAGGTACCTTTGACCTGAATGGAACCCGGGACCCTTCGGTCCTCTGCTCGATGCTCTATCCACTGAGCAAAATCTGGTTGGGGCCATATATCTTTAATTTCACTACACAGTACTGTATTTCAATCAGATTCTGGAGCTCTAAATTGATCACAATATACTTAAGATTATTCACAGCACATATTGTGGTAAATCCTGCTTTTAAATTATAACACAGCTCTCCATTTAACACCCCCCCCCCTTTTTTTTAGGTTGCAACTATAGTTGAAAGGAGGGGAAGAGATTGTGCTCTTTTAAACATGTTATTGTCCTAATTCCTTACAAGTATTTCTTCCCCTTTCTCTCTACTCTCCATTATATTTTCCTTTTATTCATTCAGGTACTTATTATTCACTCCCAGTTACTAACCTCACACATAGATTTATGAGGTCTTTCTATAGTAAAGAGAACCCAACTCACATTTAAGAGGTACCAATTTTGAGCCTGTTTTAAATTCAGACAATGCTTGAACCAGTCTGAGAAAACATATAATTTATCTAAATTACATGTCTTTCATGAATACAAATCTTGTTATCCATGAACGTGAACCAATTTTAAAGTTTCCACTCCTGATTCCCAAATGATTAGTTGGATTGATCCAAAGATACTTTGGAGATGCTTATTGAATATATTCACACCCCAATAAGTAAAATGAAACTGATTTACTTCTTCAATGACGTTACCAAATTCAGGGTTTTTGGTTTTGGCTGGGTGGGGTGTGTATATTTATTGGAGGGGGAGAACATTTGCATTTATTTATCTATTTGTTCCTTCTAGATCTCCACCTGATCCACTTTGTTTCAGAGCCAACCAGGGGGAATAGGGAGGGAGGGGAGATACTGTTTTCATCTAGAAATAATAGAGCCTGTCCTTGAATTATCCTGACTGCATTTCCAGTCCACAAACCCACCTCTAGCTAACCTTAGCAGTGGCATGCTAACTGCTCCACATGGTTGACTAACTGAAACTTCCTCATTAATAGTTCATCATGATCATCCTCATCGAGGTGACTCATCCCTGAGGATTATCTCAGTAAACACTTTATCCAGAGTGCACAGATGCCCTTATTTTATGAACTGGTTTGATATGCTTTTACTAGAACTGCTTGAATGAGCTGCAGGTGAGCTATGCAAACATGATCTTCAGTTTAGCTAATACTTTGTCATACCAAGAATTTTATCTTTGAAGAATTTCAGATGTGTGCTTTTCAAAGAAACAACAACATCTACCGTTAAAAGTTTAAAGATATGATCTAGAGATGAATATTCCCGGGTCTTAACTTTCTTGATGAGTCTTCATATGATGTGACTATAGATCATAGTTTGTTTGTTTTTTCCCCCTAAAATATATTTTTATTGATTTCAGAGAGACTGGGGATCAAGTCCACAACATGGGCATGTGCCCTTGACCAGAACTGAACCCAAGACCCTTCAGTCCACAGGTCCACGTTCTATACACTGAGCCAAACCAGTTAGGGCTAGATCATAGTTTTAAAAACCCATTTGACTATATAGAAGTTTATATATATAGCCCCTCCCCCCAGCTGACCCGGCCTGATCAGGCCCTGATTGGGACAGGCTGGCTAGCCAACCTCTTGCTTTCTCCTCCTCCCGACAGGCCCGGCCCCAATCTGCGCAGCCGACCCGGCCTGATCAGGCTCTGATTGGGGCGGGCTGGCTAGCCAACCTCTTGCTTTCTCCTCCCGACAGGCCCAGCCCCAATCTGC